TGTGATGGGCTGTCATTGTTAGAATCCTGCAGCCACACAATGGAGCACATAGTAACCCTCTCCCTATGACAGAACCTCCTCACTGGGAGGAAACTGCCTAAATCCGAGCCAAAATTGAGCCCACTGTCCTAATGAGCGTGAAGCAGCAGACTCAGCATAGCAGGGCTCATTCAGAGAACCCATTTCCTGGTCTTGCGTGATTTTGGGCTGTGTGCCTTTTGACATGAGACGTGCACTAAGCTGTGTTAATTTCAGTTTAGCAGGCTAGCTCTGAATGTACGCTGATTGGTCAATAATGGAACTGATTAGCAGTAGAACGGTGTGTGTGCTATTATGAATCGGATCTGTGTGTGTGTGTGCACTTGGATAGTTGTGTTTAGTTCCCCTACAGCATTCACTTCCAGCCCCCGTGAGGAACTGGAGTGATTAAAAAACAGCAAAGCAAGACGTTTCTCAGTAAACAGGCTGATTGTGAGATTGAGGCTAAGCTGAGGGAATATGGGAGAGATGTGTTTTAAAAAATGGGAGAGATGCCCCTCTCTACACTTCCGCTGATACTCCTCTGGGTCTCGTTAAATGGTCTGCAGAGAGTTGATAGGTAAGCAAGAAGGTGTGTGCGTGTGTGTGTTTGTGTGTGTTTCTCTGTGTATGATAAACGACTGGTCAGCATTGGCAGTCAAGCCTATGGCAGACCTCATGTCTCACACACACACACACACACACACACACACACACACACACACACACACACACAGTCAGTCTTGTACAGCTAACCTTGTGGGGACACACAATTCCTATTTTCCCTAAACGTAACCCTAACCCTAAGCCGTACTCTTACCCTAACCCTAACCTTAACCTTAACCCAAAAACCTAACCCTAGCTCCTAACCCTAAACCTAACCCTAAACCTAACCCTAGCTCCTAACCCTAAATCTAACCCTAAACCTAACCCTAGCTCCTAACCCTAACCCTTAACGTAATTCTAACCCTAACACTAATTCTAACCTTAACCTTAACCTTAACCCCCTAGAAATAGCATTTGACTTCGTGGGACTAACAAAATGTCCCCAGTTGGTCAAATGTTTGTTCGTTTACTATTCTTGTGGGTGGTCCCCACAAGAATAGTTAAACACGTCCACACACACACACACACACACACATACACATACACATACACACACACAGTAAAACAAACATAGTAAAACACACTCAATTTTGTATTTCTGTAAGGATGCCCAATCCTAATCTTTCTCTTGGGGATGATATAATTCCGACTTTGACCCCTTCTAGCAGAGGGATGAGTGTTTCGGGTACTGCTGCAGTTATTTCTGTGCTCCACTGCTCTCAAAGCCCTGCAACCTAATCTTGATTATGACATAATGAACATGGGGGGGGAAAACTCTGACCGAATCACATAACGAGTGTGTTTTAAAGCAGCGGCAACAGAGGAGATTGTTTGGCAGGACATCTCCTGCAGGATTTGAACAAAGGAAACATTCATCATGGATTTAAAAGCTCTCGTATTACTGTCCTCACTTCTCCAATCCCCCTCTCCTTTCCTCCTCTCCTCCTCTCTTCCTCCCTTCAGGATAGTCTGCTCTGTCACTGCTCAATGATTCAGCATCCAAACCACACTGCTTTGCTGTACTATCCCTTTCTTGAAGGATAAAAGTGGTCCCTTTGGTGAGTGAGACTGTGTGTATGGGTTTCACACACTCCTTCTCTTCTCTGCTCTATCGCGTTCTGTTCCTCCTTCACTCCAAAGCTATTTTGTAGTGTGTTTGTGTACTCCCTATCCAGCTGCCTATCTTTTTCCTTCTACTCCTTGACATGTGGTATAACGTATACTCCTAAGGTACATTGAGGACTCTGGTTGACTGTCAGGTTACCAAACACTGGTATGACCTCACACCATTGATACAACACCTAACACTGCATGACACTGTCTTTCCTTTCTCCACCAAAGCTTCTTACAGTACTTCCTTTCCTTCTGTCCAGTTAATAAACCGTGAGCCTAAATGAGCGCTGTGGGTTGGGCCAGCCCAGCGGGGGGGTGGTTGCCGTAGCGCCCAGCCTCTGATCTCCCTTTCTGTTTGAACTCAGCGTTGTAGGATAATGAAGTAAAGAACACCTCACTTATTCAACACAGAGAAGCGGCAGGAATGTAGATGCATGACTGCTGTACAAATAGCACCTAGTCTGTGTCAGCCAACGCCCCCGGACCAGGGACAGACTGAGAGATGGTGTGTGATGCTTTTCCCAGGGACAGACTGAGAGATGGTGTGTGTATGTGTGTGATGCTTTTCCCAGGGACAGTGCCTTTTTTCTATGTGTGCTAAATAATCGTGTGTGTAAAAGCGTCTGAATGTATGTGCATGTGTGTATGCACCTGTGTGTGTGTGTGTGCCTGTCATCCGTGTGTGTGTGTGTGTGCGTCTGTGCCGAACAGGCACAGGGGGACGGTGTGTTCAGATATGTTACAGAGGCTACTACATCTACTGTGTCCTTTCCTGGAAGCAGTGCAGCAGGGTCCAATCAGATGACCTTATACAGTTTCACTGGACTCCTGTTCTATTGTGTTTGTGTTATGGGATTATTTATTTATGCCCCACTTGAGGAGAATAGCCTGGGAGATGATTGTGTTTCTGTAGACAGTGGGGGGGGGGGGGGGGGGGGGGGGGGCAGGAACTACTCTCTGTAGTGAAGGAATGGGATGGGGCGGGGAAGACATAAGGGAGCAGACACAGGGAAGCGGGTACCAAGAGATTAACACACACACACACACACACCATTGCATGATGCGACAAAGGCCTGCCTGTATTGGCCTCTTCTTGACTGTAGCTGGGTGAGCGGCCCTTCACAGTACATCACACCACACCACACCACAGGAACAGAAGTCCCTACGGCCCATTTGACCCAGAGGAGACCTGAGGTGTGAGGCAGGGCATACGCTGGGGACCACTTTGTCCAGTCGCCCCTGAGAAGGAGAGTGTGCCAACCAAGCCAACACACACACGTCATCAACCATGAATGCTGCATGCTTGCCCTCTCTTATACGCAAACACACACCTCCCTCGTGCAGGGCTGTCATCTAAGATAGCCCTGTGTAGAATCTAATCCATTGTAACATGAGACCGTGTAAAGTGCCAGGGTATCATCATGTCTACTGGGGATTAACAGGAGTAGGTACACGCACACACACACACACACACACACACACACACACACACACACACACACACACACACGCACACACACACGCACACGCACACGCACACGCACACGCACACATGCATGCAAAGAGGCATAACACATTCCTTTTTGCTGTGTGTGGAAAACAGAACTCGTGTGGCAGAACATAATTATTCCCTCTGTACCTTAAACACAGTGTGGTTGGTTTGAAGGTCAGTATGAAGGTAATGAGGCGCTGCCATTGATCCAGAACTCCTGTACAGAACACTGGGGGGGGGGGCATAAATAACAGTGGCACGTGGGGACGACAGACTGAATGGCTAGGGAGGAGGAAGAGGAAATACCACATCCGAGCAGGAGAATTACAAAAATGACTGGAAAGGAAAGGGGATAGCTAGTCTGTTGATACAACTGAATGCATTCAACTGAAATGTGTCTTTCGCATTTAACCCTCTGAATCAGAGGGGGGGGGGGGGCTGCCTTAATCCACGTCATCGGTTACCGTGGAGCAGTTGGTGGGGGTTAACTGCCTTGCTCAAAGGCAGCTCGGGGTTTCGACCTTTCAGTTACTGGCCCAACGCTCTTAAACGCTAGGCTACCTGCCGCCTGGAGCATAATGTGTTGTGAATGAACTGTTATTCACCCAGCAGAGAGTAGCTATACAGTGACGGTTATTTATGTTATTCAGTCCTTAGGGTTTTGGAGGGTTTTTCCACTGCAAGCCCATGTGTGTGTTTCATATAGAGACGTGTGTGTGTTGTCTGTCTAAGTTTCCATGGTGTGTAACTGATCCCTGGTGTATAATGTCTAAGACAGTGAGACAATACACGCACACACTCATGCACTCACACACACTAAGCAGTGTGAGGAAGGTCACTCCTAGCTCCAACTCTACTCTCAAACAATTGACCCAATCTCAATTTCTCTCCCCACCACCCCTCCACCCCCAAACTACCCCCCTAGCCCCCCCTCTTCATTCATCCCTCCCTGTAACCACGGTCACAGTTGTCATGACAAATTAACATCCTGTTGTGTGGATGCGTGGCGACGTCTTGCCCATCAGGCCTTTGGGGAGAGGGAGAGGCCCAGGGCTGAGAACGCAACAATACCTGTCTGTGTATGTGTGTGTCTGTGTGTGTGTCTGTCTGTGTGTGTGTGTGTGTATGTGTGTGTGTGTTTGTTTGTTTGTTTGTTTGTTATCTCATTCCTCTACACAGCGTGAAATCTGTCTTTTCAGCGGAGCTCAAATCCGTAATGTTTCCCAAGGTCGACATGTCTCTTTACGTTCCGTGCTGGGAATTCTGTCTGTGTGAGCGTCACCGACTCTCTGAATCTCCTGCCCCCTTTCTCTATCTGCTTTCCCTTCTCGCTCTCTCTTTTTCTCTCTCTCTTTCTCTCTCTCTTTCTCCCCCCCCCCCCTCTTTCTCTCCTCTTGTCTCTGTCTGTGTACCTCTGTTATATAATTAAGCAATAAAGCCAGAGGGGGTGTGGTATATGGCCAATATACCACGGCTAAGGGCTGTTCTTATGGCAACGCAATGCGGAGTGCCTGGATATAGCACTTTATAAGACATTACATACTCTTCCCCTCTCTCTTTTCTCCACCTCCCTTCTCCTTTCCTTTCCTCTCATCTCCTTTCCTTTCCTCTCATCCTCCTCTGTCCTACCACCCCCCATCTTTTGTAGAGAGATATCAGCTCCACCCTTTATGGATTTTCAATGCCATTAGTGAGTGTACATGTACTTTAATGTACTGAATAAATAAATGGATTGGTGGATTGGTGAACAAGTAAACCGATGAGACTAAACATGCCATTAACCCTGGTGGAGGATTACTATAGGTCAGTTCTCTGACCCAAATACTATAGGTCAGTTCTCTGACCCAAATACTATAGGTCAGTTCTCTGACCCAAATAATATAGGTCAGTTCTCTGACCCAAATACTATAGGTCAGTTCTCTGACCCCAATACTATAGGTCAGTTCTCTGACCCAAATACTATAGGTCAGTTCTCTGACCCAAATACTATAGGTCAGTTCTCTGACCCAAATACTATAGGTCAGTTTTCTGACCCAAATACTATAGGTCAGTTTTCTGACCCAAATACTATAGGTCAGTTTTCTGACCCAAATACTATAGGTCAGTTTTCTGACCCAAATACTATAGGTCAGTTCTCTGACCCAAATACTATAGGTCAGTTCTCTGACCCAAATACTAAAGGTCAGTTTTCTGACCCAAATACTATAGGTCAGTTTTCTGACCCAAATACTATAGGTCAGTTTTCTGACCCAAATACTATAGGTCAGTTTTCTGACCCAAATACTATAGGTCAGTTCTCTGACCCTAATACTATAGGTCAGTTTTCTGACCTTTCATCTCTCTGTGTTGTTGTGTTCCAGGCACCTCTCCAGCTCCAAGATGAAGGATCTTCTCAGAATCTCTGTCCCCTTCCTCAAACGAGCATGTGCTGTCTCTCTCTATGTGAGTATCAACCACAACCATGCAACTAAGACTATGTCTATATCTCAGTACGCATCTTTGTGGTATAGTAATCATGCTGAATGTGTAGGTTCAAGCACAAGTTGATGTTAGGTTTTGGTACATTTCACTGTTAAGTTTGTATTTGTAAATGTAGGTCTAGTTTTGGGTGTGGATGTAATCTGCTGCTTTAATAGTATCGTCCTGCGGTTCACTCCTCCCTCCTGTAGGTGGCGGTCATCATGTCCTTCAGGTTGTGGCTGATGGGCGGCTCCATGCCTCTCTTCTCTGAGCAGGACAACCCAGCCTCCTTCTCTCCTCACCTGCTCACCAGGTTATTCTTAGCCCTAACACAGACACGTTAAATCCATTTCAGTGCTAAAACGCTAAGATACTGTATTCAGTCATATTCAGTCTTATTTCCTGCTGCTCTGCTACATGTAACCACCATATTAAAAGTTGTATAAAAGAGTATGAACATAAATAGACTCACAAATAGACCCAAACATCAGCCTCTCTCCCTGGGTCTGCCTCCTACCCGCTTCCCCAGCTTCACGGCCTACCCCAGGGCTGTAGGCCTCAGAGTGCGCAAGCCATAGTGCTCTGGTCCCTATCTGCAGTGGCAGACACTGTAGCTGTCATTAGCTCTTGCAAGGCCACCTGGGAAATGTAATCCTAAAGTCTTCATACCCTACATCCAATCCTTCTTTCCCTCCTTCCCTTCTTTCTTCCTGGCATTGTTTCAAGGATGCTCTTGTCATTGAGAAAGGAGAATGTCAGTCTTAGTGTTAAAAACCTTTCCATTCAGCCAGCTATCTATTTGCTGTCTATCTATCCATCAGTCAGTGTCCTCCATTATGTTTTAATGAAGAGATGCATCTCCTAGTGAATACTGAGGATTAAGACTAACCTTGAAGATTGTGTTTGTCCTTTTGATACTGAGAATCAGTCAGATATGGATATGTGTGTATGAGAAGTGTGTGTCATCCTTGCTGCGTGTGTGTGTGTGTGTGTGTGTGAAGAGTGTGTATCGTCCTTGGTGTGTGTGGTCTGTGTTTATCCATTCCCCCTCCATCTGTGGTGATGCAGTAGTGATTATCCATCATGTCAGCGGTTCTCTGCCAATCCATTTAGAATTCATCACAGCAGCCTCCCTTCTGTCATTAATCTCCCTGTGTGTGTGTGTGGGAGTAAGAGTGTGTGTGTGTGTGTGTGTGTGTGTGTGAGGTTGTGTGTCTGTCTGTCTGTCTGTCTGTCTGTGTGTGTAGGTGCTTGAGTGATTTATTTGAATAAACAAGCGGACTGCAGTTACAGCTTCATATTACAGATGTATCAACCGCGGGTGACTGCGGAAGTAGCTGTGTGTTTGTGTGCGAGTGTGTGTGTGTAGGTGCTTAAGTGATTTATTTGAATAAAGATGCGGACTACAGTCACAGCTTCATATTACAGATTTATCAACCATGGGTGACTGGAGAAGTAGCTGTTTACTATATGAATTATATGCAACAGTCTAGCCCAGCCTGGTTAATGGCACCTTTGTGTGTGTGTGTGTGCGTGCGTGCTGTGGAGTTTTTATCTTCAACTAACCATGTTGCAGACCAGTGACATTTCTGTTGATTTAGCATTTGCTATTCCTCTCTCGTTTCTCATAAAGGTCAGGTGTGTTTGTGTGTGATTGTCTAGTTGTGTGTGTGATTGTCTAGTTGTGTGTGTGATTGTCTAGTTGTGTGTGTGTGATTGTCTAGTTGAGTGTGTGCATCAAATTCAATGCTGAAAGCTTTTTGAGAATGTTGAGTGTCATACTGCAACTCACATTCTAATCCATTAAACATCAAGTGCCATTGTCTGTGATTGCCTGTTTCTGTGTGTGCATGTATTTACCTGTGTGTGTGTTTGCCCATGAGCATGCCTGTGTGTGTGACTGTGTGTGAGGGTGTGTGTGGGTATTTGTCTATCTGGTGTGTCAGTGTCCTCTGCGTGGTGTGGAGTGCTCTCCTCACATCATGGCTGTGTGAGCCTGTAAGGCTGTGAAGCTAAGTGGTTTGACATTGAATTCAGGACTCTTGATCAGGGAGAACATGCCGGAACACAGGAGACAGAGGAGACACAGCTACAGCCCTCAAACCTCCCATCACAAACCTGTCAGCAACTGCTATTCATTTTCTCAATTATTCTTTCTCTTTCTCTCTGTCTCGATGTCTCTCTCTTTCGATGGCTGTTTCTCTCACTTTCTCTCTCTCTCTCTTTCTTGATTACGCTGCCTGTTGCTTCAATATATCCACATAATCTTCCTTCCTCATGATGCCATCTATTTTGTGAAGTGCACCAGTCCCTCCTGCAGCAAAGCACCCCTACAGCATGATGCTGCCAACACCCGTGCTTCACGGCTGGGATGGTGTTCTTCGGCTTGCAAGCGTTCCCCTTTTTCCTCCAAACATAACGATGGTCATTATGGCCAAACAGTTATATTTTTGTTTCATCAGACCAGAGGACATTTCTCCAAAAAGTACGATCTCTGTCCACATGTGCAGTTGCAAACCGTAGTCTGTCTTTTTTATGGCGGTTTTGGAGCAGTGGCTTCTTCCTTGCTGAGCGGCCTTTCAGGTTATGTCGATATAGGACTCGTTTTACTGTGGATATAGATAATTTTGTACCTGTTTCCTCCAGCATCTTCACAAGGTCCTTTGCTGTTGTTCTGGGATTGATTTGCACTTTTCGCACCAAAGTACATTCATCTCTAGGAGACAGAGCGTGTCTCCTTCCTGAGCGGTATGACGGCTGCATGGTCCCATGGTGTTTATACTTGCGTACTAGTGTTTGTACAGATGAACGTGGTACTTTCAGGCGTTTTGAAATTGCTCCCAAGGATGAACCAGACTTGTGGAGGTCTACAATTTTTTTTCTTGGCTGATTTCTTTTGATTTTCCCATGTCAAGCAAAGAGGCCCTGCGTTTGAAGGTAGGCCTTGAAATACATCCACAGGTACACCTCCAATTGACTCAAATGATGTCAATTAGCCTATCAGAAGCTTCTAAATCATTTTCTGGAATTTTCCAAAGCTGTTTAAAGGCACAGGCAACTTAGTGTATGTAAACTTGTGACTCACTGGAATTGTGATACAGTGAATTATAAGTGAAATAATCTGTAAAGAATTGTTGCAAAAATTACTTGTGTCATGCACAAAGTAGATGTCCTAACCGACTTGCCAAAACTATAGTTTGTTAACAAGAAATTTGCGGAGTGGTTGAAAAACAAGTTTTAATGACTCCAACCTAAGTGTATGTAAACTTCCGACTTACGTCCCGTTCCTGTCTGATCATGACAGTTGGTGAGCTTACTCCTCCATGTTAATCTCTCTGGCTCTGTCTGTCGCCAAGTCTGGGGGAGTGTGTGTGTGCGATCCTGTGTGTCTGTCTGTCTGTCTGTCTGTCTGTGTCTATCTGTATGTCTTTCTCTCCAATAGCCAGCCTGACTGGATGTGATGAGGTGATTTCGAAGGAGTCAGACGCAGGAGGGTAAATCACAGAATAACAGGATTTATTCTGAAACACAGAGTTACGCAGTAATGCGTCAAAACACTCCAATGCGCAAAACAGGCGCACTGGAAAATACAAGGCACACAGGGAATTTTCCCGGTGATACAAAATACACGGAGCTCCACCGAGCTTCTCTATCCTCCACAATAAACAATCACACACAAAGACAAGGGGGCAGAGGGAACACTTATACAGGTACTGATGAGGGGATATGAACCAGGTGTGTGTAATAAACGAGACAAAACAAATGGAATGATGAGATGAGGAGCGGCAGTGGCTAGAAGGCCGGTGACGACGAACGCCGAAGCCTGCCCGAACAAGGAGAGGAGGCAGCTTCGGAGGAAGTCGTGACACTGAATGGCAAAAACAGAAAGAGATGGTTGATATTCTGTACATCCATTGCACATATCTAGCCACCTATTCAACAGGGATTTCTCCTCAATCTATTATAGCACTAGGTTAGGTGAAGCTGTCAATAGATCACTTCATGCCGTCCCCCGGCTTTAATGTTCCTCCATAAATCGATGATATACCAGCAGTTCATATTCACTCTGCATCCCCTCTCAAATCAACAGGCAATCTGAACCCGCCTGTCCAAATCAATGGAGAATTGAGTTTCCCCCCTCTATTCTATGGAAAGCTTGTTTCGCTGCAGAGAGAGAATCAATGTGTAATCTATGCATATCTCTGAAGCTGCTGCTATTCTGAGTGGGAGGAGAATACTGATAGGGTATCACAGTGGGATATCACAGTGTTCTCATGTGCTCATGCACTTCTGACCAGAGATAGGGCTGGGCGCCATTTGGATGCAGAAACACACACACACGCTAATTATTTCTAGCATCGCCCTACTGTGTGTGTGTGCATGGGGGGGCGTGTGTGTGTTTCTGCCCATGAGTGTTTGTGTGGGTGTTAGGATTCATTTTCTTCAGTGCACTGAAGCACACAAATATGCCTTTTCCCGTTTGCAGTCTTGTCTAATTAAAGTTTCATTTCACTTCAAGTCATATCGACTATGTGTCCATTTGAAGAGTTTTGTCCTACAGTACACCATCCCAAATACCGAACTCGCTAACTCATCTCCAATCATAGCTTCAGCTACAGAGCAGTTCGTACAGAACCATTCCTTACAGCTCTGTGTTTGTTGTTCCAGTTAGTCATTGAGTAGAGAAACGGCCACCCACTCAGACTGGAGCTAAAGCCTTTCCATTTCTATTAGAGAAACCAGCGGTTATCTGTTGTAAAAGATAAGGGACTGTAATGGAGAGTCATTTAGTGATTTGACAGAGCTGGCTAATGGTGTTTGTTAGTGTGTGTGCGTGTGTCCGTGCGTGTGTCCGTGCGTGTGCGCATGATTATACATGCGTGCATTTGTGTCCTCTATTGCTTCCCGCTGAGCTTGCCTGTGTGTGTGTGTGACTGTATTTATGTGTGTGTGTGAGTGTATTTCAAGGTATTTGTCTATCAGGTGTGTCAGTGTCCTCTGCGCTGAGTGGTGTGGAGTGCTCTCCTCACATCATGGCTGTGTGAGCCTGTAAGGCTGTTAGCTGGGTGATTTGACACCTGAATTCAGGACTCTTGATCAGGGAGAACATGCCGGAACACAGGACAGAGGAGACACCCTCAAACCTCCCATCACAAACCTGTCAGCAACTGCTATTCATTTTCTCAATTATTCTTTCTCTCTGTCTCGATGTCTTTCTCTCTCTCCGCTCTCCCTCTTTCTTGATGGCTCTCTCGCAAGAGCTGTTTCTCTCTCTCTCTGTCACTCTCTGTTTCTTGATTACTCTCCCTCTCTCTCTTTCACTCCCTCTCTCTCATTTTCTTTCTCTATTTCTCATCAATGCTTCACTTTCCTCTCTCCCTTTACGCCTCCCTCACTCCCTCCCTGCCCTGTCTTTTCCTTTCTGGTAGGAAATGCTGTGCATGTTGTGCTTAGTGGGGATAGAGGGGGTTGTGGGTAGTGGGGGAATTTAATCTATGTGTGTGAGCATGTGTGCGTGTGTGTGTGTGTGTGTGTTTCTGCACGTAAGCGTTTGTGTGGGTGTCAGGATTCATTTTTATCAATGCACTGAAGCACAAAAATATGCCCTTAACCATTCACATTTTTGTCTAATCAAAGTTTCATTTCACATCGACTATGCGTCCATTTGAAGAGTTTAGTCTTACAGTACACCACCCCAAATACTTAACTCACTAACTCATCTCCAATCATAGCTTCAGCTACAGAGCAGTTCGTACAGAACCATTCCTTACAGCTCTGTGTTTGTTGTTCCAGTTAGTCCTTGAGAGACGGCCACCCACTCAGACTGGAGCTAAAGCCTTTCCATTTCTATTAGAGGAACCAGCTTATCTGTTCTAAAGGATAAAGGACAGTCATTGACAGTAATGGAGAGTCATTTAATGATTCAGCAGAGTGTGTGTGTGTCTGTGTCCTCTATCGCTTCCCGCTCCCCTCTCTCTGTTTTCTTTCATTATTCGTTCTCCTCTCTCAGCCACCAATCCATTCACTTTGCTCTCCTCCCCCGCTCCTCCCATCTCCTCCCTCTCTTCTCTCTCTCCTGCTCAGTCAAGCAGACTCTTTCCTCTCTTTCAGTCCTTGGCCATGTAATGGTCTCAGATAGCTCCCCCAGTGTGACAGAATCAATTGCACAGCCACTCGGACGCAGGCCAAGCCAGCATCCCAAATGGCACCCTATGCCCTTTATAGTGCAGTACTTTTGACCAGGGCCCATAGAGCTCTGATCAAAAGTAGTGCACTAGAGGCAATAGGGTGCCATTTGGGATACAGTCCATATCCATACTCACAGAGGGCATGATGACCAACAGAACAGGAACTGGATGTTCTTTCATGGCTGTTTGCAGTAAACAACATAGAGTGTGATTGAATACAGTGTGATTCAACTTCCTGTAAATGTAATGTAAGAATGTGACCAATAGTTAACATTTGAACCCTCTCTCTCCTTCTATCTGTCTCTTTTCTTTCTTCTTCTCTTGTCTTCTCCCTCTAGGTTCCTGACCTACTGTTACCTGTTGGCGTTCAACGCGTGGCTGCTGCTGTCTCCCGTGGTGCTGTGTTATGACTGGCAGGTGGGCAGTATACCCCTGGTGGAGTCACTGTGGGACATACGCAACGTCGCCGCCCTGCTGCTGGGAGTGGTCATGGTCGCCCTGTGTCTGCACTGTGTCATGTCGTTACAGGTGAGATGGACATGGAGATTAGGTGGAATGTTAGCATATACATACACCCCCGCCCCCCTCCTTTTGCCCCCAAAACAGCCTCAATTCATTGGGGCATGGACTCTACAAGTTGTTGAAAGCGTTCCACAGGGATTCTGTCCCATGTTGACTCCAATGCTTCCCACAGTTGTGTCAAGTTGGCTGGATGTCCTTTGGGTGGTGGACCATTCTTGATACACACGGAAAACTGTTGTGTCAAGTGTGAAAAACTTTGCAGCGTTGCAGTTCTTGACACAAACCGGTGCGCCTGGCACCTACTACCATACCCCATTCAAAGGCACTTAAAAATTTTGTCTTGCCCATTCACCCTCTGAATGGCACACATACACAATCCATGTCTCAATTGTCTCTAGGCTTAAAAACCCTCATTTAACCTGTCTCCTCCCCTTCATCTACACTGATTTGAAGTGGATTTAACAAGTGACATCAATAAGGGATCATAGCTTTCACCTGGATTCACCTGGGCAAGTGTTCTTAATGTTTTGTACACTCACTGTATTGCTTATATCTGTCTAGTATTTTGCTGTCTACATTAGAGGCTAGAGGTTTCTGAACTAGGCCTGGTTTTACACACTGCTATGAAAACTCTCACCTTCTAATCAAGTTGATCAAACTCTCACACATGATTTGCCCAACCCACACCATGAACATACAGTACACACTTTCTCTGCGTTGCCATGGTGACAGGCAGTGTTTAGAGAAGGATACTTATTATATGTGAAAAGTGTGTGTACTAGGTGTGATCATGCCAGGTGGGTATTGGCTATGCTCACACATAACACCCTCGTCTTAGTGCATCCACACTCCCTTCTTCTCCCTCCCTCCTTCTCTCTCTGCACTGACATTAACTCAATCGAAAAGCCTTATTCAATCAAGCCTGCTTGTCAAAAGCATAATTCATCCTTTTTGAATAGACACTTAGTCTTTGGTCCCCACCCCACTCAGACAGAGGGAGAGATGTCTCTGCTGCTATTGTCAGCTGTCAACACTGAATGGCATTTGTGAAATTGATCTCTTTACCCTGCTTGTCCTTCCCATAGTTTGCGTCGGTATAATTGTTTTAAGCTGAAAGAATTGTGAAAGCTCTTGCTCTCTTCCTGTAGTTTGGTAGGTCACTTTTCTCAATATGCTGATCTTCTTGTAGAAGATGAAGTAAAACTGGGCGGCAGGTAGCCTTAGCAGTTAAGAGCGTTGGGCCAGCAACCGAAAGGTGGCTGGTTCGAATCCCCAAACCGACTAGATAAAAAAATCTAGCAATTAGGCACTTCACCCTAATTGCTCCTTTAAGTACTATTTCTCAATTCACTTTACCCTTAACATGGCCTCAACCCCAGTCATCCAGAACAGCCCACTCAAACAGAGTTCTGTGATCATGTGTGAGTGATGGGAACAGGAAGCGTATTGAAAGGGAGTCAGGTGTGTGTGCGTGCGTGTGCATGCCAGAGCAAGATGAGGAAAGACAAATGCAAGTGAGGAAAAGCTAGATAGATGGAGTACGAAAGAGAGGGAGAGTAAAAGAGAGTGGAAAGAGCGTGAGCATGAAAACTTTTCCATTAGCAGGGAAGTGAGGTAATTAGATTAACATTTAATTGGCCAGCCCCTGCTGGGTGGGTACAAGATTACTGTAGGAGAAGCATCACTGACTCATACTCTACAATACAGGAATGGTTTTCTGCTGTCCACTAATCAGAAAGGGGTAAACTCATTAGGCTGGTTAGTGTCATTGGTTGTTAAGACAAGTTATCACTGCTTTGATGGTTTTATTTTGAGAGAGAGAGAGATGTAAAGTAATATGCAGTACAGGGTCATTCATCTTCTGATGAGAGGGGAGTCGTACAATGATGGAGGGTTCATATTACTAGAAATTCCATCTTTCTCACACCTGTTTCTTCCTTTACTGCTTTCTTTCTCTTTCTCTCCCTATTTCGATCTTCTCTTTTTCTCTCTTTCCCCCTTTCTCCCCTGTCTCTCTCCCCTGTCTCTCTCCCCTGTCTCTCTCCCCTGTCTCTCTCCCCTGTCTCTCTCCCCTGTCTCTCTCCCCTTCTCTATCCCCTGTCTCTCTCCCCTGTCCTCTCCCCTGTCCTATCCCCTGTCTCTCTCCCCTGTCTCTCTCCCCCTGTCTCTCTCTCTCTCTCCCCCTGTCTCTCTCTACCCCCTGTCTCTCTCCCCCTGTCTCTCTCCCCCTGTCTCTCTCCCCTGTCTCTTCTCCCCTGTCTCTCTCCCCTGTCTCTCTCCCCTGTCTCTCTCCCCTGTCTCTCTCCCCCTGTCTCTCTCCCCTGTCTCTCCCCCTGTCTTTCTCCCCCTGTCTTTCTCCCCCCTGTCTCTCTCCCCTGTCTCTCTCCCCTGTCTCTCTCTCTGACATATCACTTTGCTCTGTCTGTTTTGCTGAGGTTTGCGTGCGGCTAGGTTATTGATAAATGATGAGTGTAATCGCTTTCTCACTTCCTCGCTCTCTGCCTCTCCCTTTGTCTCTCGCTCTCTCTCTCTCCCTCTTTCCCGCCACACTCCCAACCTGCTACAAAGGCCCCTGGGAGATGTCCCATAGCCCTTAACCTTGACCTAAGGAAGTGATTGAAGCATTTAAAGCCCGGTATGTGGGCGCGTTCCAGGCCGGCTACATTGCAGTTTCCTGCTAGATCACACAACGACTGGATGAATGCAGCCCATGCTGCCATTGCTTGATGTGGGCATTGTGACTGCTATATACAGTAGTTTGTGTGCAACATGGTCAACCACTTCCATGGTCGGTCACTTCCTACTTATATCCCTGACCACTGACACGGGGGGGATTGAGTTCCCTTTTTTGTCGTTACATCATCAGCGAAGGCATACGGTATAGCAAACTCATGGAACCAACTGCTGCCTGAGAGGAACACGTACGTGAGATGGCAGGGAAAGCCTGAGAGGAACAAGTACGGGAGCGGGCAGGGAATGCCTGAGAAGAACAAGTACGTGAGAGGGCAGGGAAAGTCTGAGAGGAACAAGTACGTGAGATGGCAGGGAAAGCCTGAGAGGAACAAGTACGGGAGCGGGCAGGGAATGCCTGAGAGGAACAAGTACGTGAGAGGGCAGGGAAAGTCTGAGAGGAACAAGTACGGGAGCAGGCAGGGAATGCCTGAGAGGAACAAGTACGTGAGAGGGCAGGGAAAGTCTGAGAGGAACAAGTACGTGAGATGGCAGGGAAAGCCTGAGAAGAACAAGTACGTGAGAGGGCAGGGAAAGCCTGAGAGGAACAAGTACGTGAGCGGGCAGGGAATGCCTGAGAGGAACAAGTACGTGAGAGGGCAGGGAAAACCTGAGAGGAACAAGTACGTGAGAGGGCAGGGAAAACCTGAGAGGAATAAGTATGTGAGTGGGCAGGGAATGCCTGAGAGGAACAAGTATGTGAGAGGGCAGGGAAAGCCTGAGAGGAACAAGTATGTGAGAGGGCAGGGAAAGACAACTCCTTACAGTGTTTGTTGGTTAATTTGCTCTATTTACTGTTCGAAATGAAGGGTCGGATCCCATTATCTATCTGTCTGTCTGTCTGTCTGTCTGTCTGTCTGTGTGCGCGCGCGCGCGTGTACATGTACGCACGTGCATGTGTGTGTCCTAGCCATCTGTTTGCCTGGCAGGGCTGGTGAGTGTGTGTGTGGGCTGGGACATATGTCAGTGGGCCAGTTCTGAAGGGTTCTACTGGGAAGGACTAACGGATGTGATTCCAGAACCAGAGGGGACTGATCTGGGAGGGATGCCATGCTGCTGACCACCCAGAATAGTCCTCTGGAGCACTGGGCTATAGCACCGAATATTCCTCTATACCAGGGATGAGAGAAGAGGAGAAAGGAAAGGAGGGATGGTGGAAAGGGAAGAAAAGAGGAGAGGAGGGAAGAGAGAGGAGTAGAGTGAAATGGACAGGAAACTAGAGGACATTTGAAATGGAAAGGAAAGAGTTGACAAGAGAGTAGAGAACTGAGGAGATGAGTGGTAAAAGCTGGCGAAAAGAGATAGAGAGATTGACAGGGCGGAAGAGATGAACAGATGATAGGGAGCACGGATCAGGAGAGGAGGAGGAGGATGAAGGGAGCAAGGTTGTGTGCAAGGTTAAAGCAGCTGTATCACCGCCTGACAAATTGTGACAGACGTTGTACAGGCGCCCACTGCCGTCACCATGGTAACGGAGAAGCGGTTGAGCCCTTGCTCTCTTCTACACTTCTCAACTCAGCCAAGCAGAGTTAAGACATACAAGGAGGATAGAAAGAAGAAGAAGAAGAAGGTTAGATGACTGAGAGTGGAAGATAGAGAGAAAAGGAGCTGACAGAGAGGATGAGATAGGGCTGCAATGTATTTATTATTGATTCCTACAGTTCACCCAAGTGTGTTGCTCTAAATCGCAAATAAAATCATAAAAATTGCAGAGAGAGAGACTCTGACTGACTGACCAACCGACCGGACGTCCCCTGAGGGGGCTGTGTTGGAATGACATACAATCAACAACCCAACCTCCCCCATCCATTCACTAGTCCACTCCACTGCCTACTGTATGGGATCCCACTGCTTACACCAGCACGGTTGAATGGGAGAGAGGGGGAGAGTGTGTGTGCTTGTGTTAATTACTGTATGATCCTATCTATGGCATAATGTCTAGCCCCCGGTGTGTGTGTGTGTGTGTGTGCTTCAATGCGTGTGTGTCTGCCGTATGTGTGTATGTAGGTCTGTAGTTGACAAGTGTGTGATCCTATCTGTGTGTGGCATGCAGAGTGTGGCATGTAGAGTCTGTACCGCGGTGTTTAGGCGGTTGACAGGAGAATGAGGCATGGATTGGACCGGCAACTTAATCAAGACACCGCGACATTGTAACTGTAATTTAACGAGGGAATCAACGCCATTACTGAGGATATAGTCATTAGACCAATTAGCTTCTGTTTGTTATAATAACTACGTTGTTCAGATGTTCAGATTGGAAAAATACAGAGGGATTTTTTTAGACTTATTAAAAATGAATAGCTTAGATGCAGAGTTGATATAAAATGAATTAACTGTGTTTAATGATGTACTCAATCGGAGTCGGCTAGAATATTTCAGAGCATCAGTCAGATATGCTCAGTAATTGAGTGTGTTGAGTGCGAACGGCAGAAATGTGACATGTAAAATGAATGCCATTTCTATATTTCCACTGCTGTTTGAAATGGGCATGCTGGGCATGCTTAAATGCACATCATGTAGTCAAACAACGGGCGAAATGATTAAATGTGGGAATTTTAGGCTCTGGTTTTCTTATGGATGTGCTAACCGCTCACACTTTCTCTCTCCCCCCATTGCTTTCTCTCCCTCTCTCTCTTTCCCTCCCCCCTCTCACTCTCCCTGCATCTCGCCCCCCTCTCTCTGTCTCTCTGTAGAGGTTGGAGAGTAGGGAGGTGTTGGTGGGGGTGTTGTTCCTAGTCTTTCCCTTCATCCCGGCCAGTAACGTCTTCTTCAGGGTGGGCTTCGTGGTGGCAGAGAGGGTCCTCTACATGCCAAGGTGGGTCGTGTGTGTGTTTGTGTGTTATTGTAGGTAATGTGTGTGTTGTGTGTGTTTTCCCACCTCTAAACCGCTCTGGGTTTGGATGGTTTTTAATTAGATAGCTAGTGTAATTCTCCTGTGTGCAGTAGTGTGTAGACTAGCTTGGTTGCTCTTAATGCATTTGTGTGTGTGTGTGTGTGTGTGTGTGTGTGTGTGTGTGTGTGTTTTAGGACTGACCCCATTTAGTTGACTGGTCGATTGTTTGGTTGATAGGCTGTTGGTCAACCAAGTTTTTTTTAGTCGAGCAGTGGCAAATATATAAAAAATGTATGGCACACGAGACACCTGTCTGATTCACGCCTGTCTGAGTGGACTGATCCATTGCGGAGGCCGTGGGGGGTGGCACACCATTATCACCAGTAGGACATTTACCGTTAATTCCCATCATTTCTAATTACAATGTTTGTTATGGTAAGTTCTGTTAATTCATTCAATATATTATTATTACAGTCTTACCATTGTCATTGTAGGAGTGGACACGTTGTTTGCAGAGTGCACAACCTAGGTTACACTTGTGAGAAAAAAGTTTATTTCATTCCATTTACGCGCTCCTGTCAATCTTGAGTAAGGACACACACCTGATTACGCATAGAACTAGGCTACCTGGCCTGCGCGCAAATGTAGGCTTATAAATGTACCCTTTTGGGGATCTGATACTATTTCTGATTGTCTTAACTCACCATCACTGTGGAGCTTCTCAAAGTAACTTTTTCTTCGCCTCAAAACAGCAAGTAAACAAAGTCTTTTTTTACATCTATCGAGAATGACAATAGTTCCTCAACGTAGCCTATTTGAAAAATCTTTCCAGCTCTCTCCCTTTAGATATCCACTTGGCATGACAGGAAAGAAATATGCAATGCTCTCATCCAGTGGAAACGTCATAAAATAGGCCTACCTGATTACTTCTTATCCCTTGCGCAAATAGCCTACAGCTGTGTCTGTCCAGAGCTCACTGGTGCAGGAAACTCTGAGGGCCCAGAATATTTTATACAATGTTGCAAGTTTGCTAGCAGGAGCTGCTTCGGGCCAGGGCCAGACCAAATTAATAGTTGATACAATGTTTCAAGTTCCTTGCAGACAGGCCGTGCGTAGTCAATGTGATTTATAGGATATTTATTTTTATCAGGATATTTTCTACCTACGGGCTGCAATGTTTTTATTTGTTGGCTTTATGTAGGCTATTTTTACATAATGGCAATAGAATTTACTTTTAGATTTGTGTCATTTTCATTTAGCAAGAATTTTGATTACCCACATGACATTGATTTTGAGATATGAAGACTTCATTATAAATTAAATTAAACTGTTCCACGAAAATGTGCGTATGAAAATCATAACTGGCACGCAGATCAGTAGAAATGGTACGATAACTTGGAAAAGGTTGCCGACCGCTGGTGTAGCCTATTACCGGCAACTTCAGCAGCGTAACGGCTGCGAAGGCCAGAAACAGTGGGCAGCAGGGGGAGCAGCTTTTTTTCTCTGGTTAGGCTATATTGATCTCTGGCTCCCTCTTTAGTAATTTGTATGTCATCGTTTTTAATCGCAATGCTTAAAGCATCAGGCAAGCTCAGTAGCCTACATATAATTTAGTTGATTTTATTCAAACATAGGGTGTGCCTATAAAAATAGGGACAGCCCTAGTGTGTTTATGTGGGCGGGAGTTTACAAGAGTGTGTACGAGTGAGTGATTGAACATATGGAGAGAGCATCACACACACACACACACACACACACACAAGGTTATTGTCTTTATTTTCTGCTGTGCTTCACACTTCAGTCAAGGGCCTCTCTTGTACGTCCTTGTAGTGGATCTTATAAAGTGCTCTCTCTCTCCTCTCCTCTCTCTGCTCTCTCCATCAGTCTGTTCTCTCCCGCTGCCTTGCATCACTCTAAGGGCTCTTCCTCCTTCAGTGCATTCAAGGGCTTCCCAGATAATATTTATCTATTTATTTTTCCTGATGCTGGTATCTTATAAGAAAATCATATTCTGTTTGTCTGTCAATGCTCTCTCTCTCTCTTCTTCTCCTTCTCTCTCACTCTCTCTACTTTCCATTTTCCATTTCCCTTTCACACGGCCTACCCCCATCTCTCTGCTAATCCGGTCCCTGTGTGTGTATATGTGTGTCTGTGTGGGTCTGTGTGTGTGCATGCGTGCTTGTTAGCGTGCGTGTGTGTGTGTGTGTGTGTGTGTGTGTGTGTGTGTGTGTGTGTGTGTGTGTGTGTGTAAAAGTATCCTGAAAATTACTCCATGGCCGTAGGGGCCTGGAGCCCTGATCAGGCTCAGATGGGCCCTTCGGGGCCTCTGCCCTTTAAACACATGCGTATGCACATGCATGCATGCACGCACACACACACACACACACACACACAGACACACACATTCACTCCTGCAGGTTGAGAGTTTAGAGTGTATAGCCTGGAGGAAGCCTTGGGGAGCAGAGCTGTGTAAAATCCGCTCACTTCATCTCTCTCCACTCACTTAACCTCCTGCATGTATAATGACAGAATAAAGTGTCAACAGACGCTTCTCAAATATGTATATGATCTGCCTCAACGTATTTCCCAGTGCTGTGATAGGAGGACTAAGGGAATGAAACTGCTACTGTACTGTGGGAGAGTTGATCAAACAGAAAACATGCAACTGTTTTCCAATGTGTATGTGTTGTATCATTTCATGCAGGTATATGTACTGTACAGTACAGTATATGTCTGTTATTACAGCCTCAGTGTACTAACCAGCACAGTGGGATACTTGTCAACGAGGCAGAGGGCATGCTGGGATTGATTTAAAGTGAAGGGAACATGAGACGGTGCTAAAGAGAGATCCCTCATCTCTGCCTCGTTGACAAGTATGCCACTTGTATTACCTGTTAGGCTAATAACTAAATGTAGTCTAGACACATGGCTGTGCACAGGGTTTTTACTTACATCTAAATATAGTTTTAGGGAGGTTTATGCTCATACAATAGGTTTTTTCCTGCTATATATCCCCATTTAACCTCCTCCTACCCCCTTCCTTCCTTTTCCACTCAAATTCTTCTAATTCCCCCTCCCTCCATCCCTCGCTCGCTCCCTCGCCTCCTCCCTCTCTCCATCCCTCTAACTATTAATTCTGCTAATCTTTCCTTGCTCGGGTCTACAGGGGACTTATACTCCCTGAGTCATCTGCGTAGCTGAGCGCAGGATTAGTAGTGATTTCCATGCAGACAGGTTCCCCTTCCCAGGCTTTAATATCGCCCACGCACTGCTCGACACTCGGCCGCTAAATGAATTCCACCCCAGCCTAAGGTATTAGAGATACATCGCTAACCCGCTGCAAATGCAAAAGGCTACTGAGATTGTGTGTGAGACAGAGAGAAATTGCAATTATGTGAGCTTGCATTTGAGTGTGTGTGTTTGCGTGAGAGAGAGGTGTGTGATTGCAATTGTGATTGTGGCTAGAAAGACATAATGTGGATAGGTGTGGGTCTATGAGAATGTATTGGAAGAGATTGGAATCTTGTGTAATAGCACATTTCCACTAACCTTTTTCACTTTGCCGCGCCTGCAGAGAAAAGCTTTGTGTTTGCTTTTCAAATAAACATTTGCCAGGTTCTCAGTTAGCATTCTGTGTGTTGTTAATTGATTTTCTCCGATGCTGTATACCTTCCTTTTGTCTGGCTTTCTGACGAACGCGCTAGCCGAACTTTTTAACGAGGTCCCAAGCGTACTAAGGCGTCTCCGGGGAAACGGAGTTCCGCTCCGTGTGTTTTTTTGAGAGCCTTCCGCTGCCTGCAATCACACAACCTTTTTACTGCACAACAGAGCAAGAGAGAATGCTGGAACGTTATCATGGCAGGCAGGCTTGGTGTGTGTGTGTGTGTGTGTATCTGGCAGGGTTATACAACTGACAGAGGCGCAGGCGTTTCAGCTGAATCCAGTGGCGGTGCTTTTCAGAGAGAGGAGAATTAGCGCAGGGTAATCTCATTCATGGTAATGCTGATTCACTCAGTTTACGGTCTGCTGTCTGAGATCACCGTCACAGTGCCTGCTCACACACACACACACACCGTTAAACACTGTGTCATTCTGAGACTGCACTTCTCTCATATGTCACACGCTTTGTTTCACACAGGCCTTAAGACTTATTATGCATGTGCACGCATACCACACCACACACACACACACACACACACACAGTACCCAGATGGGAGTTGTGCAGTGTGTGTGTGCCTGCATGCAAGCGTGTGTGTGTTTGTGTGCGTATGCGTGTTTTATGTGTGTGTGTGTGCCCACCCCCCTGTGTATTATCAACCAGACCCCATGTAGTTTTCTGCTTCGTGAATTCCAGCGTGTGATGTCGAGGTCGCATCCCCACTTAGGCTGGCATTCATCCCTGTCTGCCCACCCAGGGCTCTGATTGGTGGGTTGGGCCGCGCCGTGCGCCAGGACAAATATTAGCACTGGCTAGGCCGTTAGCTCTGACAGCAGAATGTCTAGAGTATGAGTGATGGCTGCCGGGACTGTCTGGGTGCTCTCTCTCTTCTCTCTCTCTCTCTCTCTCTCTCTCTCTCTCTCGTTCGTTCGTTCGTTCGTTCGTTCGTTCTTTCTTTCTTTCTTTCTTTCTTTCTTTCTTTCTTTCTTTCTTTCTTTCTTTCTTTCTTCTTTCTTTCTTCTTTCTTTCTTTATCTTTCTTTCGGGATTCGGAGGCGTTCTGTTGATTTATTTTATGGATGTCTTTTTGATGAGGCTTTCTTTTTGAGAGGGGGGGAGGTCTTGCGTGATTTCGCTTTGTGGGAGGGAGGAGGGAGGTATGGCGGTAGGGTAGGGGTCTTCTTATTCTTTCTTCTTTTTTCTTCTTTAGATTTCTTTCTTTCTTATTCTTCTCTTCTTTCTGCTTTCTTCTCCCCCCCCCCCCCCCCCCCACCCCCCACCCCCCCCCCCCCCCCCCCCACCCCCCCCCCCCCCCCCCGTCTGTCTATACATCGTCTCATTCTATCACACCTGTATTTTTAACACTATATTTTCTGCCTCCTTTCTGTTTTCAACCTGTTCTCACATTCTGTCTCTCTCTCTAAAGCTGATTTTCCTCAGTGTTACTTTCTCAGAAAATCTCCTGCTTTCATTTTGTCCACCCACTCTCCTTCCTTCTGTCTGGGTTTGTAGTGGAAACTGTGCAATGGTGTGGAAGGAATGAGAGAGCCCTGTTTGCCCTGTGCTAACACACACACACACACACACACACACACAGGGGTGTGAGATAGCGTTGGTGTGGGAGATGGGGTTTGTTCAGTCTTAAGTGTGTGTGTGTGTTTGGGGAGGTAGGGTATTGTAAGAGATCTAGGAAGGAAGCAGCCAAATGTTATATTTCCTGTGGAAAAACTGGGTACTGGGGGATTGGAGAGGGGGGATTCTTGGATAGACTTCTAGGACTTCTTGAACTCAGCCTATTCTGGATAACTGAAAAGCACTTCATTTTCTTGGGTGTGTGTACATGCACATTGTTGTGTTTGTGTGACAACTGGCTGGCCTGCTTTTCTGTGTGTGTGTGTGTGCACGTTCATTGGTGTGTGCATGCATCATGTGTGTGTGTATGCCGTGCTGTTAAAGCCATCAGACTCCTCCCACTAAGGGAGCGGCTCATCACGCTATGTTTACCTCTCCACGGCGACCAGAGACGTCTTAACCATAAACAGGAAGTGTATGAGCGGCCAATGAGAGCTTCCTGTTCTAGAGAGGGGCTACTACGTGTGGTTTTCTTATTGAATCATGATCAGGGAAAACACTAGAGAAACACATTGGTCTCAGAGTAGTGAATGTCTTAGAGAGTAGGATAGAAAGTCTTATTAATGTGTGTACTCACTCTGCAGCACTAGGCTGGAGATGATTGAGTGAGAAATAATTGACAGACATCACTCTTTCTCTCTCTCCATCCCCTTCATTTCGGCTCCACTCCTCTGCTTTCTCTTTCTTCTCTCCTTCCCTGCACTACATCTCTCGCTTCCCCCTCTTTACTTCTACCACTTTCCCTGCCTCCCCTCCTCACTCATACCTTTCTCCACCTTCTCTCCTTCCCCCCACTCCTCTCTCCCTCATCTTCACCCTCTTCTTCTCTCTGACCCTTCTCCCCATCTTTCTTCACTCCCCTCTCCCTCTCTCTCTCCTTTACCCCCTCCCCCTCCCTCCTCCCCCAGTATGGGTTACTGTATCCTGGTGGCCCATGGCCTGGGGAGGTTGTGTTCTGTGGTGGGTCGCTGGGGCACCACGGCCCTGACCGTCTCCACGCTGCTGCTCCTCCTGCTCTTCTCCTGGAAGACCGTTCAGCAGAACCACATCTGGCTGTCCCGGGAGGCCCTCTTCAGGTCAGTGGTATGGGGTGAGAGGTGGGTGGGGTGTGTGTGTGTGTGTGTGTGTGTGTGTGTGTGTCAGGCCCTGATTAATGTAATGGCTTGAGTTATTCATCACCAGTAGCTCGCTCTTTCCACACACATTTTCTCTCCCTCTCTCCTACCATTTACCCTTCCTCTCTCCTTCCTTCCACACTCTCTCATTTCCATGTTGTTTTACAAGCCAGATTAATGGGTGTGAATATAAAGCTGTTTATTAGAACATGGCAAGGTCAAATTACATGCTAACCATGCACACACACACACACACACACATACACACGGGTGCACGCAAACACACCCCCTGACCCCATCTATATGTCCTCAGCGGACGTTATCGCTCTCCCAGACTCGGCCGCATGCTGTTTATCGATCAGTTTATCTGTCCATTCCTCTTTCTGTCTGCCTCGCTAACAGATAAGGACAGGCTGCTAAGACACCTCATTTCATCCTACCTCCATCCCTCCATCTCTCATTCTGTGCTCTATGTTCGGCAGGTGTTCAGGACGCACTAGTACCAAACACACGTTAGTTTGCAATTTCATCATGTAAAAACTGGTGCACAGGTATTTTCCAGCCATAACGCCAGATTAGGCAATTGACTTGTCTAACATCAGCTAGCTTGCACTGAGGTGGGAGGGGTGGCAATATTTGAGGTGTGTCCTTAAAAACAAGCCCAAAAGGGGCAATTTCATGCAGTGCAAAAGGGACTTTTTTTTATTTTTTTTATTTCACCTTTATTTAACCAGGTAAGCCAGTTGAGAACAGGTTCTCATTTACAACTGCGACCTGGCCAAGATAAAGCAAAGTAGTGCAATAAAAACAACACAGAGTTACATATGGGGTAAAAAAAACATAAAGTCAGAAATACAACAGAAAATATATATACAGTGTGTGCAAATGTAGCAAGTTATGGAGGTAAGGCAATAAATAGGCTATAGTGCAGAATAATTACAATAGTATTAACACTGGAATGCTAGATGTGCAAGAGATTATGTGCAAATAGAGATACTGGGGTGCAAAAGAGCAAATTAAATAACAATATAGGGATGAGGTATTTGGGTGGGCTAATTTCAGATGGGCTGTGTACAGGTGCAGTGATCGGTAAGGTGCTCTGACAACTGATGCTTAAAGTTATTGGGGGAGATAAGAGTCTCCAGCTTCAGAGATTTTTGCAATTCGTTCCAGTCATTGGCAGCAGAGAACTGGAAGGAATGGCGGCCAAAGGAGGTGTTGGCTTTGGGAATGACCAGTGAGATATACCTGCTGGAGCGCAGACTACGGGTGGGTGCTGCTATGACCCACCAAAAGCAGGTCTTAACTATAATGCAGTCGGTATTGGCATGGATTTTGAGAGAGGAAGCGCAGCCTATCCAGCCATGGCACAGTTCCTTTTGTGCCGGTGAATCTCGTAGTTAGAAACGATTGGTTTCCCTCCAAAACCAAGCATAGCCTCCTCTTAATCAAGGCTGGTTTAGCAGCATCTCATAGGTGTGTCTGTTCATCCTGGCCATTAGCCAAATAGCCTATGATTAAAGGGGTTTTAAATGGTCTACTGAGAGTGCTTTGAAATATTTGAGAGATTTTAGCCCTCATGCTTTTCATTATTCATAATTCACATAACTGCATAATTCATTTCGCTTGTTCGAGTAGGTTATCCATCCCCATTTTCAAAGAGCGGCCCTCGTCCGCTTACCAAAGACACGCTCCTTCAAACTATTCAGTCCTCCTATAATGCCATATCAACGGCAGATTTCTTTGAGACTCTGCCTCGCACATAGGCAACGCTACAATTGACAGAAGCCTCGTATTTCGTATAGACGTGCAAATGTTATGCGTAAAGACATTTATTTTGGCCTACGTGTGCAAACAGTGCATTGGAACGAGAGAAGCGATTTATGATATCATGTTTCTGACCCCATCCTATGTAGAAATATTGTTGATGTTTTAAAAAACAGATAGCTTATTTTCCATGTCATATGATTAAAAACCAAGCCCTCCATAGGCTACCCTTGGCCTAGGCTACTAACGTAGGCTGGTTCAACGGCAATACATCGTCTTTTTTTATCCTTGCATTGCAAAGCAGCCTATCCATAAAAGGTGTTTAAATGGTCTATTCGTCAGAGTGCCTTGAATTAAAACTATACTGCACATCCTAAAACATACACACATATGACTACATGCATACTTCATTTCATTTGTTCAAGTATCCATCCCCATCTCCAAACAGCGCCTCTCATCCGGTTACCAAAGACGCGCTTCTCCAAACATATTTCAATTATTCAGTCCTATAATGCAGTATCAACGGTAGGCCTAGGCTATATTTTGCTTATTGAGAACGTGCCTCACACATACAATACAATTTACAGGAGCCTAGTATTTTTTATTTGAGGAGAAGTGTGATGTGGAAAGACAGGCTCGTTGAAGCCAATCATAACAATGTTGACTGTCAACACTCCAAACATATTGAGCCAACACTGGATTTTCACCTCTGAAGTTTGAGCAAGTGTGTGAGCGCAAGCACACATCTGCTTCTCCTGCTTATTCCTCATCTTCTCTCTCTCTTTACAGGTCTGGCATCCAGACGTTGCCTCACAACGCCAAGGTTCACTACAACTACGCCAACTTCCTGAAAGACAGAGGGCGCCACCAGGAGGCCATCCACCACTACAAAACTGCTCTCAGGTCAGTTATAGTGTCCATAATGTCAGCGCTTCTGCTGTTTACACCACTACAAATCTGCTCTAGTGTCAGTAAGAAAGTAAAACTACATTAATATGAGGGGGTTTAGGTATTCCATCCTGATCACCATGTCAATGGGACACAGTCCCTCCAAACCACGGTCATTCCTCGACCACAATAACACCATCAGCTTTCAACGTTCAGGGATACGGTCATTCTGCCAAAACCACAGTCTAGGTTCTCAGAGCATGTTTGGAACCTCAGGTGACCTCACTCGCTCCAGGATCTGAAAATAAAGAATTCAAGTTAGTCAAAATTACGGTTGAGGTAAGAAAACCCACTGAGAAACAGTGAGAAACCCCGTTGAGAGCTTGCGTTCATGAAACGGCTAGGTAGGTCTCAATGGAGAACAGTTCAGCCCTTCGCTCATGCACCATGTGTCCTTATTGTGTGAGTTCAGGACAAAGAGAGGAGATTTTTCTTAATATGGCATGTTGTCCCTATAATGTCTAGACTATACCTCCAGGCCTAAGTAACGAGAATTCATTAATTTAAGTATGAGACGCGTTATTGATTGTCTTTGGTTGATTGTCCGCCCACTCAATTAATTACAAAACACTATTTTATTAAATCAGGAGGAACTCTGTTTGCTGCACATAAATTCATAAAGGCACACACATACACACACACACACACACTAGAGCGCATATTCTCAAGCATGTAATGGTCTTGTCTCAGCTCGATGCTTGCACCCCATTAATCCATTTGTTCTGCCTGTCACTGGCAATGGCTCCTACAGACCCAGAGGGCTATATATTTATCCCCCTCTTACAGACCCAGAGTGCTATATATTTTTCCCCCCTCCTAGAGACCCAGAGGGCTATATATTTATCCCCCCTCCTACAGACCCAGAGGGCTATATATTTATCCCCCCTCCTACAGACCCAGAGGACTATATATTTATCCCCCCTCCTACAGACCCAGAGGACTATATATTTATCCCCCCTCCTACAGACCCAAAGGGCTATATATATATCCCCCCTCCTACAGACCCAGAGGGCTATATATATATTTATCCCCCCTCCTACAGACCCAGAGGACTATATATTTATCCCCCCTCCTACAGACCCAGAGGGCTATATATATATCCCCCCTCCTACAGACCCAGAGGGCTATATATATATTTATCCCCCCTCCTACAGACCCAGAGGGCTATATATATATCCCCCCTCCTACAGACACAGAGGGCTATATATATATTTATCCCCCCTCCTACAGACCCAGAGGGCTATATATTTATCCCCTCTCCTACAGACCTAGAGGGCTATATATTTTTTCCCCCTCCTACAGACCTAGAGGGCTATATATTCCCCCCCCCCCCCCCCCCCCCCCCTACAGACCCAGAGGGCTATATATTTCCCCCCCCCCTCCTACAGACCCAGAGGACTATATATTTATCCCCCCTCCTACAGACCCAGAGGGCTATATATTTATCCCCCCTCCTACAGACACAGAGGGCTATATATTTATCCCCCCTCCTACAGACCCAGAGGGCTATATAATTATCCTCCTCCTACAGACCTAGAGGGCTATATATTTTCCCCCCCTCCTACAGACCCAGAGGGCTATATAATTATCCCCAGTCCAGCTTTCCCTTTTTCCCGTCCCCCTACCCTCCTCCCTTCTTCTTGAGTCATAACTGATGATCCTTACTGTGCTCTGTTTATGAGTGGTTGTGCGTGTGAATGTTTGTTTGTTTCAGTCATCAGTATTTGACTGACAGGAGCAAGGAAATCGTGTGTGTCTTCTACTACTGTATCTGAGTCTCTATTCTCTCCCCATCCTCCTCTCCCCCATCATTCTGGACAAGTGCGAGTCAATTGGGCCCTAGCTCAAAAACCCAATATTAGCATGAATTACATGAACAAGAAACACAACATTACAAATATTACCAAGATGTGAGATAATTTACTTGTTCTCTTAAATACTAGATAGCTTTGAAAAAGCGACAGGACATAGGTAGAAGGGATTGCGTGACGATTAACCTAGCAACTGCGTGACGCAGCATGACAACGTGAACGTGATTGGTCTACAGTCTGCTGGGCGAGGCATTGTACGTTTCTCCATTCATTGGCCAATGACATTACCATCTCCTCATTTCTTAAAGTATTTCTGGAATAGGGTGCCTTTTTTTCAGACCCTGAGAAAGTTTAACCCCCGGGCACTTTACCTCCACTTCATATGATTTTCTTAGCTCATTTTTCTTGTTTTTCATTTAGGCTAAAGGGTGATAAAATAGAGAAACGATGTTGTTACCCTGGAGTCGTGGGTTTTACTGCATTCATTAGAGGTTGTTTTTATTCGTTTGTTTTTCAGGTTTAAGTGTTCTGGTAATCCTGCTTAGACATTAGATTGGGTGATGGTGTGTGTCGTGATCAATAGTGTGCTTACGGCAGAGTGCGTGCCACTAAGTCCACACTGTTGTCTTTCTAGGAATTTGCACACTGAAAGGCGATGTAAACTGTGACTCATTAGCCAATGGAAAGAAGGTTGCCGTAGCATCGTTTCACCTCTTGCCCCGGTGTTGTGATGGGTGTGTCTCATAGTTATGGCACTAATAATACAAAATGGATTGCAATTACTTGTCATATTTTACCCAATCCTTTCAAAAAGCACTTAATGCTCTTTAAGGGTGTTTCATGCCTTATTCGGACACTCTAGAATGATTGATTTACAGAAGCCATTTTGTGTACGATAACCGTTATCATGATAGCAACCACTTATCCTAATGACAGTATCATGGGTGTCATGTCGTCTTCTTGTAGTGGTATGGGGTCATCTAAAGATACATGAGAAGGGTCACATGTCCCCAAAGTGCTAAATTGCTTCCTATCATCATCACTAATTTCAAGGACCAGACCAATCCAGCCCTTTCAACAATTAGCGGTCATCACAAAATGTGATGGAGGAAGAATGTTTTCTTACAGATTGGAACTTAAAGATACTCTCCTGTTTTTCCTTCTCCTCTCCTCCCTTCTTCCTCCTCCCTTCCCCCTCCTCTACCCTCTCCAGGTTGTACCCTCGCCATGCCAGTGCCATGAACAACCTGGGTACTCTGACACGCCACCCAGAGGATGCTGAGCACTACTACAGAACAGCCCTGGACACCAACCCCCAGCACAACAGAGCCCTGTTCAACCTGGGAAACCTGCTTAAGTAGGATACATGCACATACACACACATGTATGCATTCATGCATGTGAACAGACATGCATACACACACACACACACACACATAGTGCATGCACTCAGAGATCTCAGCACAATGCTGGCACCACATTCATTTGTACACACAGATGCACGAACACACACACACTTTCCCTGCAGCTCACATACAGTGAGGGAAAAAAAGTATTTGATCCCCTGCTGATTTTGTATGTTTGCCCACTGACAAAGAAATTATCAGTCTATAATTTTAATGGTAGGTTTATTTGAACAGTGAGAGACAGAATAACAACAAAAAAATCCAGAAAAACGCATGGCAAAAACATTATAAATTGATTTGCATTTAAATGTATTTGACCCCCTCTCAATCAGAAAGATTTCTGGCTCCCAGGTGTCTTTTATACAGGTAACGAGCTGAGATTAGGAGTACACTCTTAAAAGGAGTGCTCCTAATCTCAATTTGTTACCTGTATAAAAGACACCTGTCCACAGAAGCAATCAATCAATCAGATTCCAAACACTCCACCATGGCCAAGACCAAAGAGCTCTCCAAGGATGTCAGGGACAAGATTGTAGACCTACACAAGGCTGGAATGGGCTACAAGACCATCGCCAAGCAGCTTGGTGAGAAGGTGACAACAGTCGGTGCGATTATTCGCAAATGGTAGAAACACAAAAGCACTGTCAATCTCCCTCGGCCTGGGGCTCCATGCAAGATCTCACCTCGTGGAGTTGTAATGATCATGAGAACAATGAGGAATCAGCCCAGAACTACACGGGAGGATCTTGTCAATGTTCTCAAGGCAGCTGGGACCATAGTCACCAAGAAAACAATTGGTAACGCACTACGCCGTGAAGGACTGAAATCCTGCAGCGCCCGCAAGGTCCCCCTGCTCTGAAGTTTGCCAATGAACATCTGAATGATTCAGAGGAGAACTCTTTGGCATCAACTCAACTCGCCGTGTTTGGAGGAGGAGGAATGCTGCCTATGACCCTAAGAACACCATCCCAACCGTCAAACATGGAGGTGGAAACATTATGCTTTGGGGGTGTTTTTCTGCTAAGGGGACAAGACAACTTCACCGCATCAAAGGGACGATGGACGGGGCCATGTACCATCAAATCTTGGGTGAGAACCTCCTTTCCTCAGCCAGGGCATTGAAAATGGGTCGTGGATGGGTATTCCAGCATGACAATGACCCAAAACACACGGCCAAGGCAACAAAGGAGTGGCTCAAGAAGAAGCACATTAAGGTCCTGGAGTGGCTTAGCCAGTCTCCAGACCTTAATCCCATAGAAAATCTGTGGAGGGAGCTGAAGGTTCGAGTTGCCAAACGTCAGCCTCGAAACCTTAATGACTTGGAGAAGAGGAGTGGAACAAAATCCCTCCTGAGATGTGTGCAAACCTGGTGGCCAACTACAAGAAACGTCTGACCTATGTGATTGTCAACAAGGGTTTTGCCACCAAGTACAAAGTAATGTTTTGCAGAGGGGTCAAATACTTATTTCCCTCACTAAAATGCAAATCAATTTATAACATTTTTGACATGCGTTTTTCAGGATTTGTTTGTTGTTATTCTGTCTCTCACTGTTCAAATAAACATACAATTAAAATTATAGACTGATCATGTCTTTGTCAGTGGCCAAACGTACAAAATCAGCAGGGGATCAAATACTTTTTTCCCTCACTGTAACGAGTGACACACAGCGCCCTACCTGAGGATGAATGGCTTACATTAGCGGAATGCTCTGTCTGTTCTCTCACACAGTCATAGCACTGAGGGGAAATAGTTTGGACACGCAGTGGCGAGACGTTCTGCTTGTTGTTCATTAGGGCTGTGGCTGTGTGTCACATCATCGATACTGCTCTACTCTGCTCATCCCTGTCACTCTGGCAGGAGGCTGATTGGACAAATATTTGTTTAACACAGAGATAAACAGAGCACTCATGAAATCACTGGGTTGACACAAAGAGGAGGGTCTGAGGGGGGCTCGTTAGATAAACAAAACACTTTCATACAGACACACACAGACATACGCGCACACACCGGCTCGGACACGCCAGGACAGCAGACTTGGCGGTTAGTCGGGACAGTGGGAGATAGATGTATTCTGTTACTGTTTGTTTACTGTCTGCATGATAGCCCCCACCTCCTCTATTCTCATTGATGGGGGTGTGAAAAGTGTTTGTAGTACACACACACACACACACACACACAGCAGCATTCCTGCTAGCTCTAATGGAGAAACACAAATCAACTTCATTATTGCGCTACAGATCCATCAGGTCTATATTTTCAATTACGACCTGTGAACATACAGCCTCAGGCCTAGAGACAGACCCAACATCGATTCCCATTACTCCTGCTGGACCTAGCACCGTTTCCAGGTCATCTACTGTATTGATACACAGCGGGGGGGGGGGGGGGTTGTGTGTGTGTGTCAGCAGAAAACGGACACAACATAGCCATATGATGATGTTGACGATGAGGACGATGATTATGTTATTTCAGGTCCCAAGGGAAGAAGGAAGAGGCAGAGGCTCTGTTGAGAGACTCCATTCGGTTCGGTCCACACTTCGCTGACGCCTACTCTAGTCTAGCATCACTTTATGCAGAGCAGGTAACACACACATACATGCACACACACACACACACACACACACACACACACACACACACACACACACACACACATGCTTTGCAGGTAATACACATGGTTGGTCTATGCACTGGTTGCATACACACACACAAAAATACACACATTCTCTCACGCACATACTTAGTATGCACTCACTCACACACTTCTGTAAGAGCATGTTAGGCAATGTGAGTTCTGCTATCTCTACCATTCCCATTCCCCCCTTTCCATGGATTCAGAATTCAATTAAAATTCGCTGTAGATCGTTAATCTTGCTGCCGGGAACTCCAGTCAGTGCGCCATTTATTTTGGCTTGTTCAATTAAACACACTCACTGACTCCCTAACCTTCTATTACCGCAGGCTCTCTATAACCTTATCTCAGCATAGCCACAATTTCACACATGACATCAGCTCATACTCAATAATTCAATATAACCATTTTATTGATATCATATTCTTTTTTTTATAGAAGCGGTTTGCGGAGGCCAATGACATCTATCTGCAAGGCATAGAGAGCTGCCCAGACAGCTCGGACCTGCATAATAACTACGGAGTGTTTCTGGTCGATACCGGTGAGTTCAGTAGGGTGGATAGGAGAGGAGAGTGTTGATCTGTTTGCAAATAAAGTTTTAGCTTACCCCTCTCTCTCTCTCTCTCTCTCTCTCTCTCTCTCTCTCTCTCTCTCTCTCTCTCTCTCTCTGTGTCTCTGTCTCTCTCTCTCTCACTCTTCTCTCATTAGGAGAAGGGGCGCTGGCGGCAGCCCACTACCAGCATGCCGTGCGTCTCAAGCCGGCGCACTACGTCGCAATGGTGAACTTGGGCCGCCTCCTTCGCTCCTCCAATGAGAACAAGGAGGCGGAGTCTTGGTACAAAAAGTGAGTTAAGAGGTTTTGGGAATATGGAAGAGATTCAGAGGTCGAACGAGAGCAACACTAGCCATGTGCCCATTGTCCAGAGAAGAGAGTCATGGGTGGCGCTATCCTGTTTGACCTTGTATGAGGTCTTGTTGACCTTCCATTGACTCCTCCTTGACCTTTGACCCCAGGGCCCTGCTGGTGACAAGGAAGGTGGACATCCTGACGCCACTAGGGGCGCTGTACTACAACACAGGACGCTATGAGGAGGCTCTGCAGGTGTACCGTGAGGCGGCTACGCTACAGCCAGACAGCACCGATATCTGGCTGGCTCTGGTGAGTCACAACACACACGGGCATGCATGCAGGCACGCACACAGACGCAGGCACACACACATGCACACATGCAGGCACGTACACACCACATGCTGTAGTCATACCAGGACAGAACCAACAGATGTCTGGCCCTGAATTGTACTCTCCCTTTCTCCCTCTCCCTCCCTCTCCCTCCCTCCCTCCCTCCCTCCCTCCCTCCCTCCCTCTCTCTCTCTCTCTCTCTCTCTCTCCCTCCCTCCCTCCCTCCCTCCCTCCCTCTCTCTACTTAGGCACAAGTGTTAGCCATGGCGGGCCGCTCTAAAGAGGCAGAGAAGATGACTCTGGGCATCATATCTAAGCAGGGGAGCTGCATCGAGTGTTACCGCCTACTGTCTGCCATCCACAGCAAACGAGGCAACTACACAGAGGTGTGTGTGTTTTTGCGTGTGCGTGCATGCATGCACGTGTGTTGTTGGGGTTGTGGTGTCTGCATTTGAAAGAAGGAACGGGACTGAGAAAGAATAAGAGCAATAGAGAGGGGGATGGGCGAAGGACAGAGACAGTCAAGAAAAACAGAACAAACCATATCACCTCAGGGTCAGCAACAGTGATCACCGCGGAAACAACGGTTGCCATGGAAACCATCACATCTAGATTCTGTCACCTCCGAGTCTCACAGGATCACATCCCCATCTGTTCACACTGATCCTCCATCCTTCACTTCATTCACTTTATCTCTCCATCCTGATTACATTCTCCTCCTTCTCCTCCACCATCCCTTGTTCCATCCCTACGTCTCTGGGGGCTCATCTGTAGACACACTAACAGAATGGATGTAATCTCTGTGGGTGTGTCCCAAATGGCACCTTAATCCCTGTGTAGTGCACTACGTATATGGAATAGCGTGCCATTTGAGACTTAGCCTCGCTGCTAAAAATAGTATTTCCTTCCTAAAATAACACAGAGGTGGTGTGGGGGGCTGACTAGAGCAGCAAACTTTTTTGTGCCAGGGACCGGCAAGGTATGGCCTTTTTCCTCTGGGGACCGCTTGGATATAAAGAATATTGACAATCGCTTTTTTATACAGAACACCAATTTTTCTATGCATTTTCTCTATTATATTTACTACCCTAACACCAGTGGAGGCTGCTGAGGGGAGGACGGCTCATAATAATGGCTGGAATGGAGCAAATGGAATGGCATCAAACACCTGGAAACTATGTTTGATGTATTTGATACCATTCCACTCCAGTCATTACCACAAGCCCGTTCTGCCCAATTAAGGTGCCACCAACCGCCGGTGCCTAACACATAGAATTTGTTTAGGATAGTAATAACATAGTCCATCAAGCTATTTGATTCTCTATTTTAGGACACCTGGTAGTATCATCAAAAAAAATATATATATATATATATTATTTGATGAAAATGTTGAATTTGGCCTTACTGCCATTATCTCAATAAACATAATAACACACAAAGATATGTCAAATCAGGGAGGCCACACTTCAATCTGAAGGATTTATGGAATGTAGTCACTAAAATGCTTGAGAAAGGTATTGGGAAGAAGATCTGCATTGCTTTCAAATGCGATTTTGTCACAGTCCGTTCTAACGTGTCCTGCACCGCTTGTGAGCGCCGTAGAGGGAAACAGCAGGCACGTCCGCCTTCCTGAGAGTCATGGCTTTCGGTGATAGGGTCATAATAGCTAATAGCTCCAACCGTTCAAAAGTTAGAGCCGAACTTGTAGGGGGGAAAAGGAAAGCGCTCTGTTTGTCACAACTGCATTTATCGGAGATCGGAGGTTACTTGCGTAACCATGGTGCTATGAACTAAGCGCCACATTTAGTAGATTGAGACGAATCCAGTGCAATCAGTAGGGCTTTTTCAGGCATTCCTCCATGGACTGGAGCCGGTCCTCGGACCTGGGTTTGAGAAAGGCTGGCCAAGAGGACGTTTATTTTCTCTCAGCCTCTCAGACAGAAGACAGAGTAAATATTACACTGTCCTCCCTATGGAAAGTCTTGGTGTGTTTTTGTCTAGTGTCTATAATAATAATAATAATAATATGCCATTTAGCAGACACTTTTATCCAAAGCGACTTAGTCTACAAAGTCTACATACTAACTCACCAGGGATACTGCTACGCTTCCAGATATTACTACGCTTCCAGATCTCTCGATATCCCCTTAATGGGGGTTCTATACATGCTTTTTTCCCTCTCTCTCTGTCAAAGGGAAGGGAAAATAGAAGCTATTGATGATATTTCTGTCATCTAAAGGATGAGACTTCTCTCTCCCAGAGGCAAAAGTAAATTACATTAAATGCCTCTCTCTTCCTCGTCCTTTTTTATCCCCTTCAGATCTCTCTCTCTCTCTCTCTCTCTCTCTCTCTTTAAATCTCTCTGACTGCCTTTCCTATGCTCATCAGCCAGTGAATGAGAGCCCGGCAGTAAACGACTAGTCTGTCTCGTTCTCTCTCCCTCTCTCTCTCAGCAGCACCACAGAACACTGTCATGGTGAATTTCCACTGAGGATTGACCCTGGTGTTTTACCAAAAAGCCTCAGACTTTTGTGTTTCCAGCTCCATGGCCCGGCACCTGGGACTCACTGGACCATGGACCTGCTCTGACTTGAGGCCAAGGCAAGGCCACTGGGGCTTTTAGGTTGAAATGACATAGCAATGGCTAACTGTGAACATGGGTTCACCTTCTCACAAAGCAACTGTTTTGATTATGCAGAGGTTGTTGATTCTTCTCTTCACAAGTCCTCACTCTCAGCCCTAACTATGGAAGTATATCCCTAGCTATGGAAGGGTGTATACTCTAGTGTAACACTGGTGTTACATTCGAAAACAGCATTAATGTCATGGTTGCGCTTCACTCATTAAAACTCTCTAAAACTGGCTCGACACGCGTCTCATCAGGATCACAGTGTGTGTGTGTGTAAACCTCTGTCTGTAAATGTGTACTAATTCTCTCCTCTCTTCCTCCAGGCTCTGGATGCTCTAGACAAGGCCCTACAGCAGAACCCCGTAGACATGTCTGTCATGGCAGAGCTTCACTTCTCCAAGGGCAACCAGCTCAGAGAGATGAACCAGCTGGACAGAGCCTTCGAGGTACAGGAGTCTCCACACACACACACACACACACACACACACACACCTCCTTACTCTGCATACTTTCTGCATACTGCTCTCTCTTCTCCCTCCAGACTCCCTCTCTCCTCATCCACTAACATTTCAACCTCTCCAACCTCCACCTAATTAAATTTGTCTCCTGCTTGATGCCCTCCTCTCTCCCCCTCCTCAACATTACACCCTCCTCTCTCTCCCTCCTCAACATTACACCCTCCTCTCTCTCCCTCCTCACCATCATACCCCTCTCTCTCCCTCCTCACCATCAGACCCCTCTCTCTCCCTCCTCACCATCAGACCCCTCTTTCTCCATCCTCACCATCAGACCCCTCTCTTTCCCTCCTCACCATCAGACCTCACTCTCCCTCCTCACCATCAGACCTCTCTCTCTCCCTCCTCACCATCAGACCTCTCTCTCCCTCCTCACCATCAGACCTCTCTCTCCCTCCTCACCATCAGACCTCTCTCTCCCTCCTCACCATCAGACCCCTCTCTCTCCCTCCTCACCATCAGACCTCTCTCTCCCTCCTCACCATCAGACCCCTCTCTCTCCCTCCTCACCTTTAGACCTCTCTCTCCCTCCTCACCATCAGACCTCTCTCTCTCCCTCCTCACCATCAGACCTCTCTCTCCCTCCTCACCATCAGACCTCTCTCTCCCTCCTCACCATCAGACCTCTCTCTCCCTCCTCACCATCAGACCTCTCTCTCCCTCCTCACCATCAGACCTCTCTCTCTCCCTCCTCACCATCAGACCTCTCTCTCTCCCTCCTCACCACCAGACCTCTCTCTCTCCCTCCTCACCATCAGACCTCTCTCTCTCCCTCCTCACCATCAGACCTCTCTCTCCCTTTCCCTTCTCTTTTCTTTTCTCCTTTCTCCTCGGGGAATAACTTTAGAAGCTCCTATCACCTCAAACTGTACCTCTTACAAAACGAGACCACTAATTGACTCGTATATCCCAACCTCCCCAAAAGCAACTATGAATAAAGAACATCACTTAATTTGAGGCATATTCCCTAAAAACAACCAGATTTGCATCTCCTGCATGAAGTATATTATCTGCAGGGGTTTCAAAAGCGCCAGATTCTTTTTTTCTCCTGTTCAAGCAGACACACTTGAGAGAGAGAGAAGAGATACAAAGTCTGCAAATAAAATCACATCAAACAGCGTTCCAGGCCTTTCGCTGCCTTGATCTCCACCCCATCTCTTCCCCCCCCGGGAAAATACGCTGATACTGTCACTAAATTAACACCATATCTCCTCCGCTATCTGCATCAACAAATAAGCCCATTTTCCCCCAACCACACTTCTCACAAGAGAGAGTGTGTGGCCTAAGATAAACTTAATTCTCTTCCCTCTGTCTTTCTTTCAATGTTTCCTCTTGTGCCCATCTCTCTCTGCTGATACAGCAGGTCTCTCTTTCCACTCACTCGTGATCTCTCGCTCTCTCTCTCTTTACTTACAGAGCAAGTCTCTCCGTTTTTCCACTCCCTCTCTCGCTCTCCCTTTCCACTCTCTCACTCCCTTTCTCTCCCTCCATCTCTCCCTCTTTCTTCAGAGTTCAGGTAGTCAACAAAGGACTGCTATGTTGAACAGTTTATTCTCAGGGTTTCCTTCTGAGATAAACTCAGCTCTCTCAGATAAACTGGCTCTCTCAGCAGGGCTTGGCTGGGCGCCAGGGCTCCAGCTCTTGTTTGGGTGTTGTTCCCCTTCTAAGAAAAGGCACAAAAGGCCAATTGAGATAATGCGGGCGTCGGGTGTGGTGGTTGACAATATTGAAGCGGATCCATTGTCTGCTTGCTGTATTTTGATAGCAAGCTCTATGGTTTCAGGATGTTTGGTATTCAAAGACATAAAACATGTTGAGTTGATTAAAGTTGATTAAAGTTTCAGTAATCTTTGTGGCATTTACCCCTGTGTCACTTTTATTCCGATTGAGGCATCAGTCTTAACCCAATCAACTTTGAATGCACTTTGGATGAAAATGTTTGTTTTTCTAATTGTGTATCTGTCGGGGCTTGGAATCCAGCACAGTAAGGGCAACACATTTTCATTCTAGTTTTGTTGCCAGTGACTTGATTGAGTAATTTTGACCATTCTCTTTAGATGGACATACCCAGACTGAAAACATATTCACTTTATAGTCGGAGCGTAAGAACCCTACTGTCATCTAGTGATCGTTGGTTGTAACTACTTTATATGAATGTATGCGTGTTCTTCATTACAGAGCTACAAGCTGGCAGTGGAACTAAAACCTGACCAATCGCAGGCTTGGATGAACATGGGAGGAATTCAACATATCAAGGTACTATGACTACACAGTAGAGTTCGTTTGCATAAGTCAAAAGCCATTCACAAGCCATCAAGTCTTTGATTATACCGGAATTGCATATCAAGCATTATGGCAAAGGATGAGAGCTGATAAATGTCTGTATTTTGATCCACTGCAGGGAGACTATGCAGCAGCCAGGCAGTACTACCAGAGGGCCCTGATCCTAACCCCTGGCTCTAAGCTGCTGAAGGAGAACCTGGCCAAACTGGAGCGGCTGGAGAGGAGGCTGACCGGGCCCTAGACTAACCCAGAGACACAGCACTATCCTGGGCATGAGTTGGGGACCAAGGACCCTGGATGCCCCAACAGTAGGGTTAAAAAAAGACCTGGTTTTAAAGTCAACCTACCTGGTTGATGATGTGAGATTATGGTGAACACGACAGGGGTGCAGGGTATGGAAGCAGACTGTGGGTGATGGAGCTTCCAGAGGAGCGTGAGGCTGGTTAAGCCTGTGATGGGAGTCACATTCTGGGGAAGCAGATGGAGAGAGGACCCTAAGGAGTGGAGATGGAGATTCAGTCAGCAGCACTTCAAACTGGAGCGGACTGGATCAGCCCTCTGGACCTCTTTAAGACAGTACCACGAGCTACACACATCGCCCAGCCTGAAAAAGCTTCAAACAAACTGATCTGCTTTTTAAAATGTTTTGTTTTATTTGCTTTCGTATTTAATTTCATGTTAAATCCTGTTTTAGTGATCACTACCCTACTCTCCTCTGCTTATGAGCTAAACCCATGTTGAGATTTTGAAATGTATTGGGTGTCATGTTCACATTAAAAGCTCCAACAATATCATTCTAGCTGGGAGACAAATGACATTTTGCCAACATGAAGGATAGTTTGCTGAAGTCACTGTGGATCCATGCTTAGGTTTGGGCTTGCCTCCACTCAATTGTGGCCCCTGGAACCCCTTAGCCTGAGCTTGTCTGGGATACATAAGCCCTGTAATAAGACAACAAGGTAGCAGTGTGCTCCATAACCTCAAGCTATGGCAGAGCCTCTGAGAAGCAAGCAACGTCTGGTCTATGTAGCCTTCTACAAGTACAAGTAAGCTAGTGTCCTGCAGCTAACTGACCCTCTGATCCACTCAATATTTCTGATGCTGTGTATTATTTGTTGCTGTTGATGTTGCTATGATGATTGTGAATGAATATTTTATGTGGAATGTACAATGGGATAAAGATGAACTGACTAGTGCAATGACAGATTGATTTGCACCATAAAAATAAATATATGTTTTATTAACTGGTGTCGGCTCTGAGTGCTGTGAGGTGTCTGAGAAATAGAAGTTGCCCTATTATTGTGAATGAAAGAAAGTCATATGAAATGGGTCTATACTGCCCTCATCTGGCCTAGTGGGTACATTACATGTTAAGGAATCTAATTAGGTGTTGATAGTGGCAGGTGCAGTGTGGGAGAGCTGATGAGCGCTTGAAAGTAGAAAGGCACATTGTCAAGTGTCTTTGTGGCATTTACTCCTGTGTCACTTTTATTCCGATTGGGGCATCAGGCTTAACCCAATCAACTTTTCAATGCACTTTGGATGAAAATGTTTGTTTTTCTAATTGTGTATCTGTCTCTGTTGGGGCTTGGAATCCAGCACGGTAAGGGCAACACATTGATTTTCATTTTAGTTTTGTTCCAAGTGACTTGATTGAGTAAATATTGAAGATTTTGTGATTTTTACCATTCTCCTTAGATGTACAAAACCAGACTGAAATTGTACAGAATCTTGGAAACGGTGCATTGAACGGAACCGAAGATGAAAATGCAACCCTCACCAGTGGATTTCAATTTGATGGTATGGAAGAAAACGTTTAACAGTGAATCATAAAACAATCGAGGTGAGGGCGTTGGAAATACTTTTTGGCGGTTGATCTGCCTATGTTCTGTGGGTGGCACTGTGCTCTTTCTAAAGGATGGGTCCCAATCTCTAAAGGCCCTAGGATCCATTGGAACAGGGGTGGTCTGCCTGTCACTGGGACGACAACCCAACATGGGGTGGGGGGGAGGTTTTAGCGGGTGAAATAGTGGAGAACAATTGGAGGTTTACTTATTGGCAATGCAAATATCATGGTACAGCTATATGGACACTCAATGATTATGGTACTTTTTAATGGTAAGTTTACAAACATATTATGATAAATAGAATTTAAACTTGTATCTCATTATGGTGAAACGCATATAGCCAGTTATAATTGTAATGGCTTAGCAGATCTATTGTTTAAAGGAAACAAATTCAACAATTTTAGATGAAGTTGTGTGGAAAAGGGACTGGGGGGGAATATACTTCTCACATGGGCAAAGAAACTCAAAAGGGGTGATGAGATTAATTAACAATTTTAATCCGAATGTGCAAATTGTCCAAACAGATCCGCAAATTAGATGGATTATTTTAAATATGTTATTGGACCATAAACGAATTTGGCTCATTAATCTATATGGTCGAAATAATGATGATCCACGCTAATTTGAAATATATATATATATATATATATATAATTAATCAAGCCTACAAGCAATACAATACTCTATTATTATGGTGGGAGATTATAATACGGTTTTAAATACCTCAATGGACCGTAAAATAAATCCCACTACAAACTATCACCCTCATGCACTTAAGGAAATCACGAATATCATCGCTATATTGGAACTAGAGGATATATGGAGGCTTAAATATCCTGAGCTAGTGAGATATACATGTCGGAGGCTCAATCAAGCGAGTCGGCTTGACTACTTTCTTATGTCATTCTTGCTGGCACCAAAATATAAAGTGTTGATAGGGGACAGAATGCGGTCGGACCATCAAATAATTGGCATATACATTACTCTTACAGAATTTCCACGTGGGCGAGGATATTGGAAATGTAATCAAGGCCTATTGGATGATAACTTGTTTTTAACCAGGACAGAATCATTTATAACTTACTTTTTCCGACATAACATAGATACAGCAGATCCTCTTATTGTATGGGATACATTTAAATGTGCCTTTTAGAGGCCATGCAATTCAGTACTCATCTCGAAAACAAATGCAATTTAGGTCAAAAGAGTTCGTATTAACAAAGGAAATAGGACTAACAGTACAGATAGATGGCAATAAAATCTGTAACAGAGGCACAGAATAAGTTAGAGGAAAAAATTAATGGAGGAACTTATTCAAGAAAGATCAAGTGTAATATATATTTTTTAATAAAGCGAACTGGATGGAATATGGGGGAAAATGCACTAAATTATTTTGTAATCTTCAACATAGAAATGCTACCAAAAATAATTTACTAAAACTTGTTACAAATGAGTCACCCACGATTCAGCAAATTATATTTTGAAAGAGGAAGCAAAGTACTTTATGCATATGTTTTCGTTTGTCTCCTCCATCTCCACTAACCGAAGTTAGATGTATGGATTTTTTTTCTATAATAATGTAAAATGAATAGCTGTACAGAAAGACCCATGTGAAGGCCAAATTACAGAGGAGGAACTTCTTGATGCAATTAAAGCCTTTAAGTCCGGGAAAACTCCAGGGCAGGATGGCATACCAGTTGAGGTATACCAAACCCTTTTTGATGTACTCAGAGGACACTTATTAGCATGTTTTAGCCACTCCTATTAAAAATTGTAGATTATCATACTCAACAAGGTCTGATTTAATTATTACTGAAACAAGACCCAAGTGGTAAATATAAAAGTCCATTTAAAGAAAATGGAGGCCCCTCACACTTACTTCAGTGTTGTGATGCAAAATGCCTAGCACATAGAATTAAAAAGGTATTGTCGGATATTATTCATCCTAATCAGACAGGTTTTTTTACATGGACTATACATTGGAGATAATACACTGCTCAAAAAAATAAAGGGAACACTTAAACAACACAATGTAACTCCAAGTCAATCACACTTCTGTGAAATCAAACTGTCCACTTAGGAAGCAACACTGATTGACAATACATTTCACATGCTGTTGTGCAAATGGAATAGACAACAGGTGGAAATTATAGGCAATTAGCAAGACACCCCCAATAAAGGACTGGTTCTGCAGGTGGTGACCACAGACCACTTCTCAGTTCCTATGCTTCCTGGCTGATGTTTTGGTCACTTTTGAATGCTGGCAGTGCTTTCACACTAGTGGTAGCATGAAACGTAGTCTACAACCCACACAAGTGGCTCAGGTAGTGCAGCTCATCCAGGATGGTACATCAATGCGAGCTGTGGCAAAAAGGTTTGCTGTGTCTGTCAGCGAAGTGTCCAGAGCATGGAGGCGCTACCAGGAGACAGGCCAGTACATCAGGAGACATGGAGGAGGCCGTAGGAGGGCAACAACCCAGCAGCAGGACCGCTACCTCCGCCTTTGTGCAAGGAGGAGCAGGAGGAGCACTGCCAGAGCCCTGCAAAATGACCTCCAGCAGGCCACAAATTTTTTTTACATTTTAGTCATTTAGCAGACGCTCTTATCCAGAGCGACTTACAGTTAGTGAGTGCATACATTATTATTATTATTTTTTTATTTAAAAAAATTATACTGGCCCCCCATGGGAAACGAACCCACAACCCTGGCATTGCAAACGCCATGCTCTACCAACTGAGCTACATCCCTGCCGGCCATTCCCTCCCCTACCCTGGACGACGCTGGGCCAATTGTGCGCCGCCCCAAATGTGCATGTGTCTGCTCAAACGGTCAGAAACAGACTCCATGAGGGTGGTATGAGGGCCCGACGTCCACAGGTGGGGGTTGTGCTTACAGCCCAACACCGTGCAGGACGTTTGGCATTTGCCAGAGAACACCAAGATTGGCAAATTCGCCACTGGCGCCCTGTGCTCTTCACCGATGAAAGCAGGTTCACACTGAACACGTGACAGAGTCTGGAGACGCCGTGGAGAACGTTCTGCTGCCTGCAACATCCTCCAGCATGACCGGTTTGGCGGTGGGTCAGTCATGGTGTGGGGTGGCATTTCTTTGGGGGGCCGCACAGCCCTCCATGTGCTCGCCAGAGGTAGCCTGTCTGCCATTAGGTACCAAGATGAGATCCTCAGACCCCTTGTGAGACCATATGCTGGTGCGGTTGGCCCTGGGTTCCTCCTAATGCAAGACAATGCTAGACCTCATGTGGCTGGAGTGTGTCAGCAGTTCCTGCAAGAGGAAGGCATTGATGCTATGGACTGGCCTGCCCATTCCCCAGACCTGAATCCAATTGAGCACATCTGGGACATCATGTCTCGCTCCATCCACCAACGCCACGTTACGCCACGTTGCACCACAGACTGTCCAGGAGTTTGCGGATGCTTTAGTCCAGGTCTGGGAGGAGATCCCTCAGGAGACCATCCGCCACCTCATCAGGAACATGCCCAGGCGTTGTAGGGAGGTCATACAGGCACGTGGAGGCCACACACACTACTGAGCCTCATTTTGACTTTTTTTAAGGACATTACATCAAAGTTGGATCAGCCTGTAGTGTGGTTTTCCACTTTAATTTTGAGTGTGACTCCAAATCCAGACCTCCATGGGTTGATAAATTTGATTTCCATTGATAATGTTTGTGTGATTTTGTTGTCAGCACATTCAACTATGTAAAGAAAAAAGTATTTAATAAGATTATTTCATTCATTCAGATCTAGGATGTGTTATTTTAGTGTTCCCTTTATTTTTTTGAGCAGTGTATAAGACAAGGACTGGAAACAATAGAACACTATGAAAAATCGGGGAAACCAGGCCTAGTATTCATAGCTGACTTTGAAAAGGTTTTTGATAAAGTAGGACTGGAATTTATATATAAATGGCTGGAATATTTCAATTTTGGAGAATCTCTTATACAATGGGTTAAAGTTCTGTATAGTAACCCTAGGTGTAAAATAGTAAATAATGGCTACTTCTCAGAAAGTATTAAACTGTCGGAGTAAAATACATTTTTCCACTGTCGGCATATCTATTTATGGCCATCGAAATGTTAGCTATTAAAATCAGATCCAACAATAATATCAAGGGG